CCGGGCAGTGGTGGCGCACTCCTTTAATCCCAGCACTGGGAGGCAGAGCCAGGCGGATCTCTGTGAGTTCGAGGCCAGCCTGGACTACCAAGTGAGTTCCAGGAAAGGCACAAAGCTACACAGAGAAACCCTGTCTCGAAAAACGGAAAAAAAAAAAAAAAAAAAAAAAAGAGAAAAACGTAATAAATTAAACTTTTCAAAATGTTGCTAATTTCCTGCCCCCCAACCCCGGCCGGAGAACTATACTTGAAATTTATTTATTATTTTATTTTACAATACATATCAGCCACGGATTCCCTTGTTCTCCCCCTCCCGCCCCCCTCACCTTCCCCCAGCCCACCCCCCATTCTCACCTCCTCCAGGGCAAAGCCTCCCCCAGGACTGAGATCAACCTGGTAGACTCAGTCCAGGCAGGTTCAGTCCCCTCCTCCCAGGCTGAGCCAAGTGACCCTGCATAAGCCCCAGGTTTCAAACAGCCAACTCATGCAATGAGCAGAGGACCCGGATGAGACACTTGATTGACTTGATCTATTTTTGTTTTTCTTAAGTGAGTCAAGTGCATCAACCTGAAAGTATGTACTTTCAGCTTTAGAGTTAACTCCTTAAGAAAATTTAGAGAGAGTGTATTTACTCTCATGCCTTCCTCTTCCTTGAGTGGTATTCTTTTTAGAAAAAGAGTTAGTACATTTTAATGGAATTCATATACTTACTTTCATGCTTGCAAGCAACAAACATAAATTGCATTCATCCATTTTTCTCCTAACACCATTCCTAATTCTTAGTCAAATCTATCCTACTCAGATTGAAGTTTTATTTCATAAAAATGAGACTAGACAACAATTATTATTTCCTGTCAGTGGGCCTGATTGGTGCTATTGACTCTAGTTTCTGAGATAGGTCTCCATATTCTTTTCTCTATGATGAACTGGAGCTAATTTCTTTTTAGGTTCTAGTTTAATGTTTATTTTTTAAGCCACATCTGACTGAAAATACAAAGCTAACTGGAGCCAGAACAGTTTTTTGGTACTGTTTCTTTAGTATGATCTGTGGTGGACAAGCTTCTCCCTACTTTATGGGGAAACCTGTTATGGACTATGATGGAGTATCCAGTCTTAGAAACTGTCATCCCACATAATATATCTCCCCAAATTTACCTCAGTCTAGGAATGTTGGGTGCATTTATCCAGGCAGATGACTTTCACCACCAAACCCTGCAAAAGAGTCTAACTAAACTTCCATCCTATCCATGTGGGGTCCAGAATTTCCTCCTTATTCATTTGTGTGGCCTACATTTGGAATGCCCACATGCACCCATCACATGGATACACTCCTCTAAATGGAAACAAAATGTCTCAGTAATAACTTTCTAATGTTTCATATCAAAATGAGTATAACATTTAATGTAGATTTTAATTTTAAAAGTCACATTCCATCTTTGTTTCACACTAGTACCTTCTAGGAACAACAAACATCTCTTAAGATGACTTCTTTTATCTATTTAAAAACTACTTCAAATATTTGACACTTCGCTCATCTGTAGTGACTTAAGTTATACCAAGTTCCAATCTTCTGCATAGCTTCTATTGATTTGAATAACACAAAGGGTTCAGGAAGTTGACCTGGGAAGAAGCTCAAATTTGTTTTTAATCAGTTCATTTGGAAAGTTTTCCCTCTGTGATTTCTGTAAGATTTAAAATTGGACATTTTCCCCCTAACCTGTGAAGCGTGATCTTGTGTCACCCACACATGCCATTTAAACCCTTCTAACTAGCCAAATTCTGAAAGTTAAAAGGGAAATCTTCAAATTAATTTTAATAGTATTTAATGCAATATCCCACTCAGAGCTCAAATAAAGAAAGCCAATGAGAGGATTATGAAGTCCCATTTATATGCTGAGACATTTCTTCTCAGGCATCTGCTTGTGCTTATAGAGAAGAAGGAAAGAAAGCCACAGGCAGGATTTTGCTCTCTCCAGGAAAACTCAGATTTCTTTCCAGAGTTCTCCAGTGGACCTGGAGAAATCACTCAAGCTACTCAGAATCAACTTAAGATTAGCTGATTATTGATGGTTTCAATAACATCTCCTACAACTTCCAGCAACACCTAGATAGTGTTTTTTCACATAATTTGGTACAGTAATCTACCCAAATTGACTCATTAAGACAGCCACAGGTGGCAGATCCTAACTTATTGTTTGAATCATTGATGGTCTTGTAATGAAAAACCCAGAGCCTGATATTGGGATAAAAGCTGAAAGATCAGAGAAGCAGAGAAAGCCACAACCACCACCTATTACCTCACCAACTCCATGAATCCTCCGACTGAAATCTTCTGAGTCTTCACCCAAAAGGGTCTCAGCTAAACTGCTTTAGTTCCTGTTTCCTCACACTTTGTATACCTTTGTCTGCCCCTCTTTCACTTCCTGGGATTAAAGGCATGCGGGATTAAAGGTGTGTACAACCACTGCCTGGCACTATTTCCAGTGTGGCCTTGAACTCACAGAGATCCAGATGGATCTCTGCCTCCCAAGTGCTAGGATTAAGGATATGTGCCACCACTGCCCGACCTCTATGTCTAATCTAGTGGCTGGCTCTGTCCTCTGATCCTCATGCAAGTTTATTAGGGTATACAATACATCACCACACCAACTAGCATCATTGCAAAATGTGATTAATATAAACATCATTAAAGAGATACTTCATTTTCTAAACTGAGTCTTCATACATTTTATTCTTATAAAAGGTGTTAATTTGAATTTACCACATAAGTCTATACACAGATGTCTATCAAGGAAGTTGGGAAACTGATGATGTATTTTGTTTGTATATGATACTGCTTATTGTGTATATTTAGAGCAGTGATTCCCAATGAGGGTTCATCTTGTGTGACAGGAAGCATTTGCAGGTACTTAAAGACACTTTTCATTGTCACAATTAAAAGATGTATATGGCACTACTAGTATCAATTAGATAGAGACCAGGGATGCTGCTGAAAAATATCCTTGAATGCACAGAATCACCCCCACAGCATAACCAGACCATATTCACCTAATCTAAGATCATAATGCTAAACTGAGAGTTTCTGTGGAGTTGAATGTGAAGGCATTAAGGAAATAAACAGAATTGCGAAAACCAGGCAGATAGAAATGCTCTTTGATCTGTCCCTGTGCCTTGCACACTAATTTTTTTCAGAGGTATCAATGAACTTGTAGTCTTGTCAGCACTGGATGACCATATTCAAAGTCACAATGAGATGAGGGTGGACAAATGGCATTGCACATATTAATATGATGGATTAATGGTAGAAATTGAGGGAAGACCTTCACAGGTGTGCATATCTCTTATAAGAGGAACGAATGTCATTAGTTTTCTTTTCCCAGGATATTGACGGTTTTTGCATGGCTTGTCTGGATATAGTAGACTTCTAAAATATAACAAAGAAAATATAAAAGAACAGATGGGAATTTTAAATATGTACAGTAATTACTGTCATGTCTGACCAGCTGCCAAAAAAGAATTAAACAAACAAATACCATTGGCCTTCTTAAAGAAAGCACATGATATCTAAGAATGAGTAATCTTTTGGAAGTAGCAATAACAGTTTTCAAATCTTCATCTCAAATTTACTTTTTTTCCAAATTCACTGTGAATTTAGAATTAACCTCATTTTCTAAGGCGTTGCAATATATATACATATATTATAATGAAGCTACCTGCAAATTGAATAAATTTGTGAAAATCTCATATTTAAAAAAATGCAGCTAACTATGAAATGTACTATATATGATTGTCATAATTGTTGTTTAAGTACAATGCCAGATGCCACTTATAAACATATTTTGCCATCAACAATTCTAGGATATACATACTTTCTGTTAATGGCTACAGTTCACTTCATAAATTCTTAATTAAACATGAAAAAAAACCTAAGTCTTCCTTAAAATATAAATAAAATTCATACTAAAGAGTCTCAGTTTACATTGAGATTAATTAAAGTTAAGGACAGAGTTTGTGATCACTTTTCTGGAAATGGTGACAGGTATCTCTGTCAGTGTAAATTCTCATTTTTTTTTTTTTTTTGGTTTTTGGAGACAGGGTTTCTCTGTGTAGCTTTGTGCCTTTCCTGGAACTCACTTTGTAGACCAGGCTGGCCTTGAACTCACTGAGATCTGCCTTCCTCTGCCTCCCAAGTGCTGGGATTAAAGGCATGTGCCACCACCGCCTGGCTAAATTCTCACTTTTTTAAATGACTGATTTTGAGATGATTCCAGTTTGTCCTTTATTTCCATAAAGAAATAATTTTATGTGGTAATTATTAACAAGCATCTTTCAGACCACAGCAAGGGATGGATCAGCCTGACTCCATCTTAGGCTTGAAAGTTGTCTTATGGTAAAGACAAGCTAGGCTCATTCTTGCTTATGATTAAAATTCTGTTTCTCAAGGATTGGGCCATGCCCCAACTGTAACCTTATATACAAATGGTTATACACTGCCTGTTTTAGGAAATGACAATCATGCCTTTGTTTCAAAAGCATCTTGCACCCCTACCCTTGTCTCAAAAGGTTGTTATGACCTCTTGCTGCTGTGATCACCTTGTGACAACGATGTCTTTGTTTCAAGAGGTTGTTATGACTATCTTGTTAGCTTATGTTTTGCTGCTGTAACCCTGACTATTTTGACTGTCAAATCTCCCATTTAGAAACTCCCTACCCCTAAGCTATATATATAAAACAAAACATGTTTTCTTCACTTCTAGTACTGGCCTTTTGAACCCCACCTTAAGGAGAGGCCGCCCATGTACATGAGTAAAAAAGCTTGATTTAATTAATTTGGCCATGATGATTGGGGTTGGGGGTCTCTCTCCTTCCATCTTTGGGATTAACACAAGCTTATTAGATAATTTCATATTTTGTTATGGAATTTAAACGTTTAGCTCATTGGTATGGTTTAAATTTTATACATTTTCAAGTTTTTAAACTACATATTATTTGTTTCTATAGAAATGCACAATGAAAAGGCTGAAAAGCAGGAGAAACCAGAGAAGAAAATACAAACTAAAGGTATAAGCTTCATTTCATGCTGGTACTGCTGCTACTCCTGTGTCTCTTCCTCCTCCCATGACTCTGCTCGGGCTCCTCTTCCTTTTCCTTCTTCTCTTTCTCCCCCTTTTCCTCCTCTTCCCCCCGCTTCTCCTCCTCCACCTTCTTCTCCCCAGTGCTTCCTCCTCTTTATCCTACTTTTGAAGAGGTACCCTTTTTTGGGTACATTCATATGAGAGCAAAAATATTTTCATGGTTAAGGATTTTTACTTTTAAATTTTTGGTATTTTTCACATCAATTTTTTCTTCTGAGGTTAAATTCCAGGTGAGTGTCTGAGTAACATTCAATGATAGAAATCAAACCAACTTCAAAATTGGTGAAAATATTTACTTTTAATGGCTTTTTATTAATAAATACCAGCATATCATTTTACTTAACAATCTTTTTTTTCTTTTAATCATTTCCTACAATGATTCAGAGTTCACATTTTAAACATGAATTTGGCATGCCATTGAATGCTTTCATAATCATTGGTTCAGACATGTAGAATTCTTAGATTATGTCACTGGAATACCCTGGTCCCATGCTCTCTTCACAACCTCAAGGGGTAGATAGACTGTGACAACATGAAAATTAATAGTCCTTTCTGCCAGTCTGAATCCAAGACTATGGCCATGCAATAGAAGCATTTCAGTAAGGGCTAATACTTCCTTGTTCATTTGACAAGCGTTAGTTTTCTAGGGGAGATCCCTGAAGACTTGAGACTTTAAATAAACTTACAGCGAGCAATGGCATGCAACAGGAACAAATTTCTCAACATGACCAGGTTTTGCAAATGGGCAGTTATATATAATTTTGGATGTTCCAGGGGGGGTAAAAAAAATTCTTTCCATTATCATACTTATAGGATACAGAGAAAAATAATAAAATAATTTCCCTGAAATAAAAATTAATTGTTGGAAAAGGTGGGTATGTTGCCAAATAGAAGAATGCTTGCATACATAGCATGTGCAGAAATCTGAGTTCCAATTACCTGAACCTCCCATATGCAAAATTAAACAAAGCAAATGTAGTTATGTATTTATTATATTAAAAACTAGCTACTGTAAAAATTAGCTGTCACATGTAGCATAGTGGAAAATACTTAAGTTTTCAAACACTAGAAGTCCTTATTAGCTTGCAATAGCATGTTTATCTATGTTGGAATGTCTAAATTATAAATATATGTTGTGTCTTAATCTCCCTATGAGATTATGGGGACCAATTACATTGAAATTATCACATTCATTCCCTGGTCCCCATAAACTTGTAACAATATCATAATACAAAATGCGTTTAGTCCAACTTCAAAATTTCACATTGTCTATCACAGTCTCAACAATGTTTAAAAGTCTAAAGTTCATAGTCTCTTCTGACATCATGTAATTTCTTAATTGTAATCCCTTGTAAAATCAAAATCAAAAACCAGATCACATAATTCCAAAATATAATGGCACAGGATATACATTACCATTCCAAAATGTAGGGAAGGGAGCATTGTGAGCATACTGGACCAAAGTGTGACAGAAAACCATCTGAGCAAACTCCAAAGTCTGGATCTCCATGTCTGACATCAACATGCTTTTGAGATCTCCAACTCTGTTTAGCTTTGTTGACTGAAACACACTTCTTTCTCTTGGGCTAGTTCCATTCCCTGTTAGTATCTCTCCTCAGTAAGTTTCTTATGACTCTGGAATTTCTAAACTCTTGGGGTCTCCAATGCAATCCAGGCTTCAACTTCACAGCTTCACACTATGGCCTTTTTAAGCCTCCATTGAGGGACACTCCTGACACATGTCTGGCCCCAGCAGCTTTCCTTAAGCATGGAGGAAAATTCCCTAACCCATTTCTTTTATCCTTAACTCTAAAGTCAGAACCACATGGCCAAAGCTGCCAAGTTCGGCTGCTTGCTGGGGCTCCAACATGGACTTTTCATTCAATTATAGCTTCACCAGCTTTCTGTTTTTAATTGTTACTTTCACTGTCTAAACTTGGCTGTCCTTGAACCTGCTCTATAAATCAGGCTGGCTTCAATCTCAGGGATCTGCCAGCCTCTGCCTTCCTAGAGCTGGGATTAAAGACATGCACCACGACATCTGGCTCTAAGCTTTTCTTTAGTTCTTTTTCACAGGTTGGAAACTTAGCCGGGTGGGATCTTACTATGAGGTCACCACTCCCTTTATTCCATTTTTTAATCCCTTTATCTCCTTGAACATAGGACTTAGCTCCATTCCACTTTGTGGTGCTCTTTTTCTTCTCAAACATTTTTCCTTGCTCAGTGTGCTCCTTTTCATTACAAATCTTCATCAGATTTAATACTAAAAACCACAAAACAGAGTCTATCCTAGGCTGTTTTAAGATTTTTAAGATTTCCTCTGCTAACGGAATTAATCCAAAACTCTTCACTTTAGGCTCAGGCAGGTTCTTTGGACAGGGTAAAATGCAGCCACTTTATTCACCAAAATATCACAAAACCAGTCTCTAAGCCATGTAATAACATTTTTCTCCTCTGAAACCTCTTGATGCTCACACCAAGTCACACTCAGCACCACTGTTTTTCATGCTCCTACCAGTATGGCCCATTAAGTAGTACTTAAAGCATTCCACTGCTTTCCTAACCCCAGTTCCCAAAGTCCATATTACTCCAAACAAAAAAACATGGTCAGGTCTAACACAACAATAACCCACTCACGTTACTAACTTCTGTCTTTGTTAGGGTTTTTATTGCTGTGAAGAGATACCATGACTATTGCAACTGTTGTAAATGATAACATTTAATTGGGGTGACTTGCATACAGTTCCAGAGGTTCAGTCCATTATCATCTTAGTGGGGAGCATGGTGTTGTACAGGTGACATGGTGCTAGAAAGGTAGTTGAGAGTTCTGTATCTTGCAGGCAACAGGAAGTCTACTGAAACACTGGGCAGTATTGTGAGCATAGGAAACCTCAAAGCCTACCTCCACAGTGACACACTTCCTCCAACAAGGCCATACCTACTCCAACACAGACACACCTCCTAATAGTGCCATTCCTTATGAGATTATGGGAATCAATTACATTTGAAAATACTTACCATAATTTATTTACTTATGTTTCTTTGATGTGCCCAGATAATCCTTTAGATATTAAATATATGGCCATAATGTTTGAATTCCAGATTGGTCAGCCAAAACTTATACTATAAAACACTGACTTATACTATAAAACACTCATTTACCTGAGATTTGTCTATGCTTGTATTTAGGGGCTAATGTCGTCTTACTGCCTGTGTTCCTTTTTTGGTTTTTAACTCTTTTGGCCAGGAAAATTGGACACTGCTTCTGAGCAGGGATTGATTAAGGGAAGCATAACTGAACTGGCTACTTCTCTCTGAATTTAAAGAGAAACTCCACTGGTTCCACTTGGTCAGCATCTCCACAGCTTCATTTTGCGGACTCCATTGTAATTTAGCAGCAAGACTGCTGGAGTGAGTATGGTGATGCTGATGGAAACATTTGCATTTTGGACCTAGCTCCCCGAATCCTGCTGTCAAAGTCTTTAAGCAGTGGGCTGTGGAGAGGGTTTATTAAACCACTGAGTCTCCTGTAATTAAAAGAGTGGATTTGGCTGAAGTTTAAAATAAATTTCTCAAACCCTGTCCTGGAGATTAGTCATCTGAATTTATTTCTTGAGTAGACCAAACGTATCTGATTAAAACAAATAATTCTGAGAGAGGAAGAGATAGACAAACAGGTAGATGGGTAGTTAGATAGATAGATAGATAGATAGATAGATAGATAGATAGATAGATAGATAGATAGATAGATAATCTGTAGATAGGCAGGTATGTAAGTAAATAGATGATAGGTAGATAGATGAATATATAGATAGATGATAGAAAAATAGATGATATATAGATAGACTGGTAGATAGATACATAGATAGGTACATAGATAAATTATAGATAGATAGAGAGAGATAGAGAGACAGACAGATAGATACATATATACATACATAGGTAGATAGAGCCCAAAGGTACTTGAGTCTTTTAATCTACTTTTTCTCCCCTGTGGGAACATGAATGGAATATCTCATTTGCTTTCTAGTTTCCTGTCTGTAATTAGGATGGAATAATGTCTAGTTTTTGTTCCTCAATAGTTTACTGACAATGAGTCTTATAACTACATTCTTATGAATACTTTTAGACCTGTTGATATATGTAGATAAATGAAATGGTCTCTAAGTCACATTCCAGTTTGGCTGTGGGTGAATGTGAGGGCTAGTTATGGTTTACATTGTCATTAAAATGACTCTAACCCTTATAGAAAAGTTTGTAATATCTTAAGATATGGTTACCTGTGATCATTATAAACAAATGTCTTACTTTAAAAAGACAGAACATACTAAAGCTGAGGTATTGTGTGGAGAGATAAGCTTTGGTGGGAACGAAAACCAGATTATACACTCTTTTACTTTCTTTTTTTTTTCCTTTTCCTCTTTCTCTTCCTTCTGCTTCCTTTCTGCCCCTACCTTTATAAAAACAAAACAAAAGCAAAAACTTCTTCTGATTTGTAAGAAGACTTTAGTAATACATGATAACTTTATGCCTGGAATATTTACTCATCAAAGTAACAGAAAAGTAAATTATGTAATGCCAGAGAATGCAGATTTCTAACACAAATCCATTCAAATAGTTTAAGTGATTTATATTAAAAAGTCACATAATCCATTTCAATTCTGACTGTTATGCATAGAAAATAAGATAATTTTTATAGGTTTTTATGCTAAAAGTTTTAAATTTATAAGATGTTAACTCTTCTGTTTTGACCCTTTGTTTATTTTGATGCTTATCATTGGGGGAAGAATAGGACAGTTTCTTGGAGTTAAAGAGTAAGCTTAGTAATATATATTGGTTATGGCTCTAAGCATAAGCTCTGACATGTTAGTTAATACTTGCCTTTAAACTAAATTAACCTTGGCAATATTTCCCCATAAAAGAAGT